CGCCCGCCCAGGTGAAGAGCGTGAAGCCATGCCTGAAGCAGCTGCAGCAGTGCATCCAGACCATCTCCACGCTGCACGACGACGAGATCCTGCCCAGCAACCCCGCTGACCTCTTCCATTGGCTGCCCAAGGAACACATGTGTGTGCTCGTCTACTTGGTGAGTCCCCGGGGCCGGGCCGGGCCGGGCACGTGGCGGGGAGAGGGCCCCGGTGACCGCTGCCATCTGGTCTTGTCTCCAGGTGACCGTGATGCACTCCATGCAGGCCGGCTACCTGGAGAAGGCGCAGAAGTACACGGACAAGGCCCTCATGCAGTTGGAGAAGCTCAAGAGTAAGCGTTGGGCCAGGCCTGTGGCTACGGCGCCCCCTGCTGGGAGGCTGCCAGCTGCCTGTGCTGGACACAAGTGACCCTGAGGACCATCACCAAGCAGTCCCTGCCTGCGGCTGGGAAAACACCCCTGACTGGCCAGAGCTCTCGTTGCCCCCAACCTTGTGGGTTACCAGGGTCCCACTTGTGCCTGTCATGACAGTTGTGCTCTGTCAGAAGTGGTGGCCGCTTCTGTCAGTTACAGCAGTGTGGCACAGTGGGTGTGGACTCTTGGGGAGGCCGGGATCAGAACTCAGCCGTCGCTGACCAACGCCAGATCCTTGTGAGGCCAGGGACCTGCGGCTCCCGCAGCCCCAGAGCCCCTCAGGCTGGGTCAGGGTTTCTGTTCATCCGCCTGTTCCTTTCCGTGCCCTCCCAAGTGCTCCTGGCAGAGAAATCATGGAATCACGGGGATAGAGGGGCAACATCCAGGGTACCTCTGGTTCTCTTTTGCTCTGGCCAGATTGAAGAATGGCCACTGGTAGCTGCCTGGAACTGGGGAGCTCCCGGGGCCCTCTCTTGCTGCTTGTGGCCCTGTAACATGGTCTCAGGATTCAGGTCAACTTCAGCATGGCCAGCTGTGTCCAAAATGCCCTTGAGTACTTAGCGGAGGGAAAGTTAAACATCAAAGACAAATCCCTCCAGGGGTTCTTTTTTTCTTATTTTCTCTTTTCGTTGTGATAGTACAGAAAAAGGGAGAGATGGAGACAAGCATTGTTTTGTGCATCGCGATCCTCCTGCCCCTGCCTCCCCCAGCCAGGATCTGAGGTGTGCAACCACACCTGTGTGTTCAGGTTGGCCCAGGACCCAGTGCTGGGCCTCCCGTGCAGCCCCCCAGCCTCCTGGGTGTTAGCGCCACTGAAGCTAGGCCTTTTCTAGGGGTCTCTTCATAGAAGGCTCTCACGGTCAGCTCCTGACTTGAGCTCCATCTCCTCACTGGGACATGGAAGTGAGCTCTTTCGCTTGGGGGTACAGAGGGGCAGAAGAGAAATGACGGGCGGGAAGGGAAGCAGGAGACAGAGGCCAAATGGCGAAGCCCAAGGGCGCGGCGGGCATTGTAGCCTCCTCAGGACATCTCCCCTGACCTGACCAGCCCTGTGTGCTCTCCCGACTCTCGTCCCCAGTGCTCGACTGCAGCCCCATCCTGTCCTCCTTCCAAGTGATCCTGCTGGAGCACATCATCATGTGCCGGCTGGTCACCGGACACAAGGCCACCGCGCTGCAGGAGGTAGGGCCGTGGTCGGGACCGCGTGCACACGCTGGGCTTCTGGGAAGGCCGAGGAGGGGGTTTTCTGGACCAGCAGTTGGCGTAATGGCTATGTCACTGAACTCCCATGTAGTCGACTGCGGTTCGAGTCCCAGACCCGGCGACTTAAACTCACGCTGGGCGCATGTGCGTGCGTGCCCAAGTTCCCGAGAGGAAAATGGAGGAGACAGGATTGCGGCATGGCCATCATCCCTGGGGGGTGATTTCTCGCTTTCTGTCTTTCTGTCTCTCTCTGTCTTTCTGGCAAGTGCACGCACCCTATAGCAAAAACCTCTCAAAATAAAAAAGAAACTTTAGACGAGAGACTGAATTTGTTGAGTGCACGTTGGCAGGACATTACATCATGTGTCACCTGGCCATCACTCAGCAGTTCAAAACCCGGCAGGGGCATGACCGACTGGAGAATGGGATACAAACACCCGCGGTCCCTTTGCTGAAGCTTACACGCCCAGGGAGTGTTGTTCAAGGTGCCGGTGGGTCTGTAACCCTTGACCTCCACCTTCCTTAAGGCACACATTGCCTCGAGTAGGGGAAGCGTGCTCTACAGTTGAAGCAGATCATGGACGGGGGTCACCAACCGTGAGGAGGTCAGGGCCACCACTTGCCCTCCCAGTAGGCAGGCATGTCCACTGGGACGTTGTAGCCCAGGTCGGGCAGACAGGGCCTGGGCACCCACGCTAGCGTTGGGGTCTTAGGCGCGGATCCCTGGGACAGGCCACGTGACTTAGGGTGTGCTCTCTCCCTGCAGATCTCCCAGGTCTGCCAGCTGTGCCAGCAGTCCCCCCGGCTCTTCTCCAACCACGCAGCACAGCTGCACACGCTGCTGGTGAGTGCCCCCTGGGGCAGTGAGTAACCCTGTGCTTGCGCCAGGGAGGGCCCAGAATGTTCTAGATAAATAACTCCCCGACAACACCCTTGTCAGGACTCAGGGTGGCCCCAGGAAATAACCCCTCAGTGCTACCCCGGGTGGGATCCAGGATGTTCCCAGTGGACTTTCTTCCGATGGCCAAGTCGAAATCGATGGAGGTCTGGGGAGGCGAGAGTATTCACGTTTCAGGGCGGAGCTGAAACGTAGCTCGACGTGGTAGTCACTTGTCATGCTCATGCAAGTGTAGCCGTGTGGGCCCTTGGGCAGCTGTGCGTGGCTTTGCCCTGCGTCCTTAGTGGGGTTTCCGGAGGCCGCCCTGATGACAGCCTCTCCTTACAGGGCCTGTACTGCGTCTCTGTCAACTGCATGGACAACGCGGAAGCCCAGTTCACCACAGCCCTGCGGGTAAGGTGCCGGCCCTCCTGGCTCCTCAGGGCAGGCTGTCGTTCTGGGCAAGGAGGTGGGCCTGGACCGTGATGGTGACAACCATGCTAGGTCAGCCCCTCAGGAGCCTGGTCCTGGGCCAGCCCCACAGCCTAGTGGTTAGGGGAGTGAGGATCCCACACAGCTAACCAGGTGGTATCCTTGCCCCAGTAGCTCGAAAATCAGCCTGGTGTGCTTGTGTGTGTGCACGAGCCCCAAATCTCAATAGGATGAGGAACCTGAGTAGAAGTTGTGGTGTGACCGTCCCCTGTGAGGGTACTTTCTCCCCCTTTGCCCCATATGCCTGTCTTTCTGTGCCCCGGCCCTCTTGCAAGAAAAGAAAAAAGAAGGGACCAGCAGATGGCATAATGGTAACCTCGCTGGACTCCCACGTATTCAACTGCGGTTCGAGTCCTGGACCCAGTGGCTTAAACGCACGCCAAGCATATGTGCATGTGCACCCAAGATCTCGAGAGGAGAATAGAGGAGAAGGGATTTTGGCATGACCATTCCGCCTGAGGGGTGATTTCTCGCTTTCTGTCTCTGTCTCCCCAGCAAGCGCATACACCCTATAGCAGAAATCTCTCTCTTTAAAAAAAGAAAAGAAAAAGTGCTCCTTGAGGGCTGGCCATGGTAGTGACATGCGGTGAAGGAGAGCTGTGGGGCGGGGGTCCTGGCCAGCCGGGGGCAGGGAAGCACCCAGAGGGAGAGGCACAGTAAGCGGAATGGGCACTGCATGGGCAAGGTGCTGATGCCACAGTCTGTTCAGCCACCCTCACACCCGATTGAGAGCCCTTGGGACAGGCCTCCCTCTCCCCACCGGGCTGCCCCCTCCATGTGCAGATGCACAGTCATTCCGTGGTCAGGGCCTCCCTGGCGTCTCTCCGAGCCAAGCAGCATTGCTGGTTCGCAAAGCCCGGACCTGCCTTCGCCCTGCACCAGCATGCCCCAGGTGCGGTGCAGGCAGAGGAAGACACCTGGTGCTGCCGGGCCCAGGAGAAGGTGCTGCCTGGGGGTATTGACACCCCAGTCTCCTGGCCTCAGACCTGGATCCTGCCCATCCCTGGAAGAAGGCTGGTGCCACGTCCTTACCCAGCGCCCCAGTCCTGCCAGCCTCACTGCAGGACCAGACAAGCGTGTTCTCATTTCAGCTCCCAGGAGGGGAGGCCGTGGACACCTTCCTCCTGGGTGATCCCAGGGAGCCTTGAGTAGAGAAGTCAGGGAGCAAGGGCCACTCTGCCCGAGACTTGGGCATGGCTGCTGGGCACGCATGTGGGTGTGCCTTGGCCTGCCGGATAGGGGTTCCCCCGCGCACCTCCAGTTGCCCTGCTGGTGAGCGCTGCCAGCCCTGCTGCCAGCTTCGGAGGCGCACAGGAGCTCTGAGGTACAGGCAGCACCCCGGGTGTGAAGAGCTGGCATGGTGCCTGCTCCTCTGCTCCATCCTCATTCCTGGGCCTGGTCAGCTCTAGCCACAGCAGTGCCAGAGACTCCCGGGGGCCCATGACCGACTCCACCTCTCCATCCCCTTCTTGTGTCCCATAAGAGGGTGCTGCCGCTGCTTCTTTGGCTCAGCATCAGAGTCCCCAGCTGTACACCCCCCAGGAATCCTCCCTGCTGGACAGGAGGGACCTTCCTTCCTTAGGCCACATAGAAACGATGCAGCCAGGATGCAAACCAGACCCCCTGACCCAAATACATGCTGTACCTGTGGTCCCACTGCAAACGTTCCCAGCGCGGCTGCATCTCAGGGCATCTGCTCCGTTCCACACGCGTCAGAGCCCTGGAGGCGTCTGGGGCTCCCTCAGCTTCTCCTGTGGCCTCACTTGCCCGGCCACCCTGGGAACCAGTGTCAGGGCAGTGCTCAGGCCATTTAGATCGGTCTCTCAGCTGTTCTCGTTGCCCAAAGACAGCTGGGGACAGCGACCCATCACTGGTCATCCACAGCGTCTCTGGCCTTGGACACGGCAGAGCCTGGACTGGCCGCTCGGGGCCAACAGCTCCTCAGTAGAGATCGCCCTGCACCCTCCCAGGACCGGCACGTGCCTCTGAGTCTGTGCGGGTCCGGGCCCTGGAAGTCGCCGGCTGTGCTACGGAGGGGCGGGCTGCCAGGTCTTGGTCCTGAGGGACAAGCAGAAAATAGAGTGGAGCACAGCGCATCCTGAGGGTGGGACCCAGGGCCGCTGGTTCCCCTTCCTGTGCTTTCCGACGTCCCGTGGCATGGGTGATGGTTTTATAAGGAGACGAATTGACAGCCGTCTTGCCCTCGGGCTTAGGAGGTGAGTAGGACACGTCCGAAATAGAAAGGGCAGAGAGTTTTCATTTCCTAGTCGCCTCCTTGGAGCGTTCGTTGGGGGTTACTGGTGCACCGTGGCGGGCCCCCGTGGGACATCGCCCCTCACGTCCCCATCTCCGTTTCAGCTCACCAACCACCAGGAGCTGTGGGCCTTCATCGTGACCAACCTGGCGAGTGTGTATATACGGGAAGGAAATAGACACCAAGAGGTAGTAGGTGACATGCTTCATGTTTGGTATTCTTTCTCCATTCTCATCGGGGCGGGCGGGGGCATCCGCCTTTCAGCAAGGGGGTGGTACTCATGCACTGGGCAGCAGGCGGATCTGGGGGGGCGGCGGGGCCGAGGGGGAGCCAGGTCTAGGGCAGAAATGTTCCCACAGCTGTATACTTCTCCCTGTCAAAAGCAAGCCAAACTTCGTCAAATCCCACAGGAAAAAACCAGCGTTCTCCATCCTGAACCGGCTGCTCTGGGCCATCAGCCAGGCCGCGGGGCTTAGTCAGGAGAAGGAGCAGCTCTGTGCTTTGCCCCCAGTTTGTCCCCTGCCCCGGCCTCGTGGGTGACAAGCCCCACAGGGTCAGCCAACTCACCAGCTCCAGTGTTGGGTGGGAGCATCTCAGGCTGCCCTCACAGGCCCAGTGCCCTCCTGTGGGCTTCCGCGTTAATGCACGTAAGAGTCAGGTCCCCGTAATTCCCTAGCAGAGATCCCGCCCCTCAGCCCTGGATCACCTCTCAGCCCTGAGAGCCTGCCTCCCGTGTCTCAGATAGGGCCACTTCTCTCCTAGTCTGCAGAGATAAGACAGCTTCCCCGATCCCAGCTGGTTCAGACGCTCTTGGCTGCCCGAAGCAGAAAGTCCAGCCCCCGCTGCTTTTGTGCTTGGGAAGCAGCAGGCAGGGTCATCTCAGGGCTGGCTGCAGCCTCGCGGTGTCCCAAGGGCGCTCAGCTCCCTGGCGTCTCTGCTGCTGGGAGTGGCCGGCACTGGATAAAGCTTTAGCCCACTTCTTCCCCGACCCCCCAGTCTAGCCTGCCCATGGCAGCCAAAGAGAGGACCTAAAACGTCAGTGGCATCACGTCCTTCTCTCAGAGCCTGCCAGGGCCCCTCCTGCGGGAAAATCCCACCACCCCAGCCCACAAGGACCGCCTGGACCCACCTGTCTACTGTCCTGCCTCAGGGTCAGCCCCAAGGCCCCCTGTGACTAGAATGGCCGTGGACAGCCTGACCACTGTCCGCTGGCTCAGGGCAGGGTGGAACAAGGCAGCGTAAGCCAAGTTGTGAGGACTTCACCCTGGCCCTCAAACCAGAACCTGCTCTTGAACCAGGGAAGTCTCGATTCCCACGGGGGTGGGTCCTAAGATCCCCACTTAGGCTCCAGCAGGCTGCTCAGGGGCACGGGCTCAGGTCACGGGCACAGCGTCCTCAGGTTGCATCTCAGGGAGTAGCAGGTCACCCTGGTCATGCCCAGGCCCAGTTCTCTCACGTGCACAAACGCAGAACCATCCTGACCCGTGCCTTCTCCCCGCAGCTGTACAGCTTGCTGGAGAGGATCAACCCGGACCACAGCTTCCCAGTCAGGTGAGCGCCCGGGGCCGAGCTGCAACCTCACCAGCTGTCTCAGGCTCCCTCTGCTCTGAAATGGCTTGAGTTCCTGTGGGGTGCCAGACCACCCTGTGCACCCCAACACCTCGTACCCCCCTCCTGGACAGTCGGCAGTGGGGGGGTTTCAGAGGGGGTTCCCACTCCCCTCTTGTAAGTCTCTTTTGTACAGCTTCACCATGGGCCCAGCCTCATGGCATGCTATGGGCAGCAGCACACTAAACTGCAGTGCTGGGAACCACGTGACTGACTGTGGGTTCAAATCTCTGGATCAACATGAAGCACACCAGGCACACACACAGTATCCCAAGGGGCCAGAGGGCTGGGACAAGGGGAGTCACAGACCCTGTCAGGCTGTTCCTCCCGCCCTCCCTTCTCTCTCCAAATAAACAAACTATTTTTTTTTTTTTTTTAATGAAGAGAAAGGGACCAGCAGATGGTGTAATGGTTACATCGCTAGACTCCTCCATAGTCTACTGCAGTAGACTATGGGCCCAGTGGTACATGCCAGGCACGTGTGTGTGCGTGCCCAAGATCCTGGATTGCAGTGTGGCCATACCTCCCGGGGAAGAGGGCAGTGATTTTTTACTTTCTGTCTCTTGGGGAAACCACACGTAGTCCTATAGCAAAACTCTTCTCTCTTTAAGAGAGAAAAAAAAAAAAAAAAAGCAGAGAAGGTGGATGGTGGTGCAACTGTGAAATGAGACACTGTAAGGTTCACCCATAGACAAAGGTTCCGAATTTGTGTCTGGATACCTCCCTGAGTACCCTGGGCACACACTTGCCCATGATCCAGGGCTGGGTGGGGCTGGAGGGGGACCACAATGTCGGGACCCTGTTGGGGGTACTCTCTTTCTGTCTCTTACTCACGGAAGAAGTAAATGAAACTTGAAAAACATCCACCACGGTACCATCTCTGCTCTCTCCGCAGTTCGCACTGCCTCCGGGCGGCGGCTTTCTACGTGCGTGGGCTCTTCTCCTTTTTCCAGGGACGCTACAATGAGGCCAAGTGAGTGCTGGGCCACAGGGTGGAGGGCAGCCACCTCGGGGTCGTCGTTTCCATCCCACAGCCCCGACCCAGGTCCCCTGTCTTTCCCCCAGGCCACGACTGCCTCCCCTTCCCCTGAAGACATCCCCGTGGGGTGTCAGCGTCCGTGTTCTCCTTCTGTAGGCGTTTTCTGCGAGAAACTCTGAAGATGTCCAACGCGGAAGACCTGAACCGCCTCACAGCCTGCTCCCTCGTGCTCCTGGGCCACATCTTCTACGTGCTGGGGAACCACAGGGTGAGTGCAGGGCCAGCCGGGGAGTAGGGGGAGCGTCACCACGCAGCACTGTGCACGCTTGATGACAAACACAGCTCAGCGCACTTCCCTCCCTGATACGGTTCCGTGAGGCTCCACGGGGCAGCCCTGCTCCCACAGTCTGGGCAGGCAGGGTCACGGGAGCTTGGCACTCACGGAGAGTATGTCCGTAGGGCAGGCGGGAGGCCAGGTGCCAGCTGAGGGCACTGGTGGGCCAAGGGCGCCAGTGGGGCTGCACTGAGCTGGCAGGACAACACCTTCCCCTTCCTGTAGGTAAAGGCCTGAAGGGAAGAGC